AATTACTGTCATGCACCCATATCATCAGGTCCTGAATATGTATATTAAAATCTTACTTAGAACAATATGACAAAAGTAGGTTTCAGATAATAAAATAGATGACATCTTTTGAAAGATACGTGCTTTTCAATTGTCTCATATGCATGTGAAAGTTGACAATGAAAAAGGTAGACAGAGGAAGAATTTGTCTGTTCAAATTGTAGTGTAGGTGAAGAATATTGAATATACCCTGGACTGGCAGATGAATGAACGAATCAGTCTTAGAAAAAATACAATCAGAATGCTCATTAAAAGTGAGGATGGCGAGACTTCAGCTAGCTTACTTTGGACACATAGTCAGGGAAGAACAATCAATAGAAAAGGACATCATATTTGGTAAAGTAGAGGGTCAGCGAAAATGAGGGAAACCCTTAATGAGATGGATTGACATATGAAGTTTTCTGGTCTTTTACCATTAAGTGTGATGTTATCTTTGGGTTTTCTATAGGTTCCCTTTATCAGATTAAGGACATTCCCCTCTATTTCCAGGTTGTTGAGTGTTTTAATCATGAAAAGGTGTTGGATTTTTTTCAAATGGTTTTCTGCATTTGTTAAAATAATCATATGAATTATTTTATTTTATTTTATTGATATGATGTCTTACATTAATTGGTTTTTGGATTCTAAACCAATCGTGTGTTCATGGGGTAAATCCCACTTGGTCATGGTGTATAATTCTTTTTATATATTGCTGGATTTATTTGCTGTTATTTTGTTGAGGACTTTTGCATTCACGTATATAAGAGATGTTGGCCTGTAGTTTTCTTTCCTTGTGATGTCTTTATCTGGTTTTGGTATCTGGCCTTATAAAATGAGTTGGAATATGTTCCCTCCTCTTCTATTTTTTAGAAAAGTTGTGAAAATGGTATTAATTCTTCTTTAAATTCTTGGTAGAATTCTTTGGTAAAGTCAAATGGTCCTGTGCTTTTCTTTGTGAGTAGGTTTTTGATTACTGATTGAACCTTTGCATTTGTTATCGGTCTATTCATATTGTCTACTTCTTTTTGAGACAATTTCAGTAGTTTATGTCTTTGTAGGAATTTGTCAATTGTATCTAACTTATTGACATAGAATTGCTCATAATATTCCTTTACAATCTTTTTCATTTCTGTAAGGTTTGTAGTAATGCCCTCACTTTCATTTTTTACTCTAATTATTTAAATCTTCTCTCTTTTTTTTCTTGGTCAATCTAGCTGATCAATTTTGTTGATCTTCTCTAAGAACTAGCTTTTGATTTCATTGTTGTTTCCTCTTCTCCATTTTGTTAATCTTTGCTGTAATCTTTATTTTCTCCCTTCTGCTTGCTTTAGGTTTAATTTGCTCTTCTTTTTTCAGTGTCTTGGTGAGTAGGGGAGGGAAATATCCTGAGTTCTCCTGGCATGGAAACTCTGTGTCATGAGCTGGGACAAGGGTAATCAGGGCTCCAGTATTCTCAGTGCAGTTCATTCAAGGTAAGATCTTCATTCCATGAGTGGGGGATGGGCAAAGAAGGAAGCTTCCAACTCTCAACCGCATTGCCTGTAACTTAGCTTCAGCAATAGGTAGCACGTGATACTTTAAAAAATGCTGACTCTGTACTCCTCGTAGGAAGAAAGCCCTCTGACTGGAAGCTGGGTGGAGAGAGAGCCCTGTGTTCTTGACTGCAGCAGTCTGGAGTGGAGTCTCCACCTCACTGAGCTGGTATAGGGGAGGGGGGAAGTGGTCTTTGTTTAAATATCACAGACTTTTGTTTCTATTACTGATTTTTTGTAGATTTTCTTGAATAGATATTTCTTTGTTTACTGTCTGCCCTTAGGATCATATTTAGAGGTCTTAAAATAGTTGTTTTTCTTTTTTAACACTGATTTTCACCAGTTTCCTTTGGGAATGGGTCTGCAGAGTCCCTTGCTCTGTCATGCTGGAAGTTGATCTCCAGTCTGGTGGTTATTGATATTTCTAAAATTTTTGATATAAGGAGACACAATTTGAAGAATAATTCATCATCCAAATGCAACTATATGTATAATACTTACCTTTCGATAGTATTTCCAACTAGCAATTCTGATTCTTTCACTTTCTGACACAGGCTTTATTTTACATTGCAGATAATAAATTTTCACATTACTTTTCATTAAATTTTAAAGTCAGAAAGAGAGAATATGCTGATAAGTTTTGCTCCAGTTCAAAGTATTATTAGAGGCCACTTTGGAACTTGAATTTTGAACTTCTTTATGTGACCTACCTGACCCAAAGGCAAAGTGGGCATCCTTCTGTACAGAGTGATATGAGGAAATCCTGCAAGACTTTTATGTAGTTGTCTTAACTAGTACTACTGTAATACAAATACCACAAGAGAGTGGCTTTAAAGAACAGAAATGTATTTTCTCACAGTCTAGAATCTAAAAGTGCAAATCTGGGTCTTAGCCATGTTGATTTCTTCATTGGGCATTCCTTGGTTCTTGGTGATCCCGACATGGCATTTGTCTTGCCTTGTGTGTGAGCATATGTGTCTGTGTCTATGCTGTCTTTTATAAAAGTCAGAAATGATTAGATTTAGGATACACCCTGCACTGGTATGACCTCATCTGAATGATTACATCACATTACATTAGGTTACATTACGTTACGGAAAGTGATTACTTTGCATTAGATTAGATTACATCCAAGGGAATAGGAATTAGGATTCCAACACATATTATGAGGGTGGAAGCACAATGCAATCCATAACAGTAGTGAAGAACTAACCTTACCCAAAGAGAACTCTGGCCTTTGCTATTGGCTGCTGGGAAGTGATTTCTAGTCCCCTGATAGTAGTGTCTTTGTTTGCCTGGGGCTTTGGCCACTGGGCAGTTTAACAATGTGATTTATGATGGGTGATTTGGGCCATGCCATATCAATTCCAACCTCTGGAGGCACTGGAAAGTAAAGACATTATCCTGACCACTGAGGGGGTCTGGAGACTAAAGTTCGGCCACCAGGCAGTATGTGATTGAGCCCTAATAAAAACTTTGGACCCTAGAGCTCAGGAGAGCTCTCTTGTTGGCAATACTATGTTTATATTGTCACGTGCCGTGATAACACTGTTCATGACTCCATGGGGAGAGTATGACCAAAAACTCTGCATTTCGACCCCTTCTAGATACCACCCTATCCATCTTTTCCTTCTCTGATTTTAATTTGTATCCTTTCCCTGTAACAAACCATAACTGTGAGTATAACAGCTTTCAGTGAGTTCTGTGAGTCTTTCTCATAACAGAGGGTGATTTTACAAACCCCATACTCACAATTGGTGTCCAAAGTGAGACTGGTCTTGTAGGGACTGCTCCTTCTAACTTTAAAATTGACTAAAATCATTGCACATTTCCAGAAATGTCTTTCAGGACCTGCATTTCCTACTACTAAAGTAAGTATTGTGTTATATAAAAGAATATTGATGTCATTTTTGAAAGGCCAATATAGAGTCTTGAAAAGCCAATGAGGTGAAAGGGAGAGGATGAGAGGTGGTCATTTGGTATTTCACAGTGATGCTCAGGCTGATCCTGTTATGCAGCCCTCCCTATGCTTGTTCGGGATCTCTGCACTAGCACCCTGTTTCCTGCTTAGTGCTCCCTGAGGACTTGGTGCATGTGTCTGTATAGCACTCACCAAGACAGATCAGAGGCCATTGCCTATGTGTTTCCCATTTGGGCTGCAGCCTCATCACTGTCAAAGCTGTGTCTTATGCATTGTGTTATTCCTAGTGCTTATAGCAGTGACTGGAAGGTCATTTATCTTCTCTTTGTAAATTCTGGATTTCTAACTTATTTGTACATAGGTAAATGGGCCCTCAATTACATTTAGGAATCTTTACTTTTTTCTCTCTAGTTGTGCATTTACCCTCAGTGAACCAATTTATAGTTATTTCTGATCTTTTCATTTTTTGATGTTCCTTTTTTTGACATCAATCTCCATTGTCTGAGTACTGTATTGTAATTAAGTCATTACTGGAAAAACCTAAATTTTATAGGTTTGGTGTTTAAAATCTTACTATTGCATAAAATTATATCTTATAATCCTTGAAGGATATAAATAACAACATGGTCGGGGCAGTCCCTAAGATACTAGTAGTGTATAGTCTGGGTTGTCACTACAAATGGTCAAGTGTTTCTAATTTTTGTTGTTCCATCTTCTCATGTTGACATATACTTCATGAATCACCTTAAATTATTGACTACAACTGTGGCATAAGGAAGTAGTTGCAATTATTTATTATTTATGTAGAGTCAGACATTAATATAGTTTTTTGTTCTTGATGAGTCCTCTAAAATCTGAAAGTTGTAGTGTTGCAATATGTGAATAACTTCCATTCAAAAAGTAAATAACAGTCGTATGCCTGATCCTAAGGAATGAACATGAACAGCTTAACATTGAAATCCTAAATAAAAACAGCACGATGAGCGTACACTATGAAATTGAAGTACTTATTCAGTTAAGTTGGGGATGTCTATTTCTGATCAAGACACCAAAACAAATTGTTTTTAAATAAAAGGCAGAAAAACAGCCAATGTTTTCCTTCATTTACATGTATGTGTATGTGTCTTCGATTGTCATATTTCAGTAAGGTCATATAAAATTCTTTTTGAATCAAGTTTTAGTTTCCCCTTTTGAGGAAGGCTTAGTACCATGTTATCAGAGGAGTTCTCATTTAGAGTCTATACGAAAAACATCTTGAATAAGTCATTTGATCCATACTGTGGTGTTAAACTGTTACTTGGATTTACAAAGCAGTGAATAGGTTTTATGGGAATGCCATTCACATGCAGCCTGCTGTGAAGAACAAAAAGTCATTTTGCGGTAACTATGTAATGCTGGGTACAAAGATTTGACTTGGCATTGAAACAGAAACAACACAAAACTTAGCTTGCATAGCCAAGCATATGGTGAATTTTCTGAGAAGAAACAAGTGATTTCGAGAGGATGGCATCTTTTAAAATCTCAATTTCATTTGGCAGAGAAAACCCAATGGGAATGTCTGCAACACTCAACCAAGAGGAGCAAAAGATAAATGAGACAAAAATCCAGACAGAAACACCACCAAAATCAGAGGTGAGGGATCCCTTATCTTCTCCAACCACAAGTAATCAACAGTTTTTTTTCTTTTTTTATGGTTGGTTTGTCTGTATTGCTATTGCTTTGTGGCTACTCCAGGAAGAGTATCAAATTGTTTTTATGATAAATGTTACATTATACCTATTCCTCACTTACAACTTTCTTGTTATCTAACACTTTGCATTTATGACAATAGCAAAAAAACTACTAGCTGATGAGTTTGCACATTAATGACATACATCTGGCAGTAACAAATGCTGAGGTGTGAGGTGAGAGTAATGCTGGTTGTGATGGTTATGTGTCAGCTTGGCTGCGCCATGATTCTCAGTGGTTTGGCAACTATGTAATGATGTAATTTGGCAATTATGTAATGATGTAGTTATCCTCCATTTTGTGATCTGATGTGGTCATCCTCCATTTTTGCATAAAACTGATTTTCACATAACAACCTGGTCTTTGGAAACCTAATCATGTTGGTAAGTGAGGAGTGGGTGTCTATCACATGAACTGTTTTTATGCTATTATTATGCTTTTTGTGGTTTTATATTGCAAATAATGCATATATTTTAAAATGAGTTTCTTTGTCTTGAAATCAATGTTTACTCTGGAACAATTATCTGAGAAAAAGATAGTATTAAATTATGACAACATATTGGTCTATCACATACAAAATATTTTATGAATATATTTTATGGACAACAGTAAATTATCATCAAAGTCTAAGTAACAACAAAAATAATCTTTTCTACTTCTCTGACATAGAAACTGAGGCATGAATAAAGTGCTCTAGGCCTCAAGGTTTGAATTTCTAGTTTCTCTCTTCATCTATTTGATCATTTTTCTTCTCTTAAATGTGTTCTCTTCTGACTGGGAAGTACAAAATTATGATCTCTGACAAGTCCTGTTCATCAGAATCCAGCCAGTTTTGGGTGAAATGAAATAGTGGACTACTGTTTCTGAACCATTAAAAAAAAAAAAACCCATCACAGGAGACAAATAAATTATAATCTTGTCTTAAGAAAAGTGCTTTTGAAAATTAGTTACTGGTGTGCTCCCTTTTCTTTAAGAAAATAACAGATAATAGATGCCTCTTGCAGACAACTCTACAGTACTATCACACAACCATAGAGAAGAGAAATTAGCATTTTGATTTTTGCCACATTGGACTAGTCTCAGTTGCATATTTCCATGTCATGTCAAGAATCCATAGAGCACTGTAAAGAATCACACTGCATGAGAAACACATGCTTAGTTAAAATTTTTGACAGAAGGAGAATTTAATCTTTGTGACAGGAAATAATGGCACCTAAATCAGGGATGGCCACTTCAAGTAAAATTTGAGTTGGTTGAAAATAGCATGTTAGCTGAAGTCTCTAAGAATAGACTTTTCTTTTATGAGTAGCAAAATGCTTAAGAGAAAAGCTTCCATAAGTCTTACAAAAATTTTGTCTGTTCTGGCAAAAGCATTTTTAAAATGTTACCATTGTTAAATTTTTAGAGATTGAGATGTTTAAGGTTTTGATTGAGATAGACCAAGTGATTTACAAAATGATAAAATCAGGTCTTATGATAGAGACCGTTTCAAATCATTCTTTCATTTAATCTATCATCAAATATTGATTGTGTGATACTAAATGTCACTAAAGATGGGCAAAACAGACATGATCTCTGCCCTCTTGAAGGTTAAAGTCTAGAAGGCCAGATAGACCTTAAAAATTCATCACACAAAAAATAGGATTAAAAACTGACAATATGAAGGAAACTTTAGCAAGTGCTAAACACTTAAAATTTAAGTTATTGATTCATTGTGAAAACAAGAAGATCATTCCTCCTTGTAGTTCAATGACAACACAGTAGAAACTTTGGAGAGTGAGCTAAGACTGAGGAAAAAAATGACTGGGATGAATTTATTAATGAGCTTTCTAAAACATGGATTCAACAAGTATTCATGTGCTGCTGTGCATGTGGAAGTGTTGGTGTGCAAAAATGCAGTCATTCCACAGATATTTGCAGTATGCCTGCCATGTGATAGGTACTGACTGTATTAGGGCAGGCATTGCAGAGATACAAGGCATGTCCTTATTACAGAGATTACCTCACACCTGTATGTGGTGGCCCTACATAAACATGTAACTGAGCAGAGGGCTTGCTTCCCGATAGGATGACCTTTCACAGAAGGAGTTTGCCTCCTGGAAAACTACTGTAGCTGAGCACTTAATCCTTGCAAACTATTGAAATAACAGATCTGGCCACTGGCTTGCAAGTCACAAACGTGTAACTACAAAACTTTCACCCCAGCCTCACCTCTCCCATCATAGGAGGGGAATGGCTGATACTTCCCTAAGCGTGAGGGCAAGGTGGTAGAACAGAGCTGCAGGCTATTGTGTATGTGAGGGGTTCAATAATCATGCATCTTAAAAGCTCTACACACAGTGGCTAGGGTCCAACCCCCAAAGCCTGCCATCTGGCCATGCTGGATCCTTATACACTGTCCCAGAATTCAGTCAACACCAAGAGATCTGCACACCTGCCACTGCACATTTCTCCATGAGTTACTCCTCATCTTTCCCATCTTGGCTCCTGAAGTTTTGGGGCTGCCTGGCCATTTCCCTTGTTTGCTTGACACATATAAATGTCAAAGGTGGCATCCCAAAGGTCAAAAATCAGATCTTTCTATAAAGTGCATGCTGGGATCACCTTAACTTTTGCAATATTGATTAAACCCAAACCAAACCAGACCTGTTGCCATTGAGTCGATTCTGACTCATAGCAACTGTTATAGATTGAATTGTGTCCCCCAAAACATGTGCGTCAACTTGACTAGGCCATGTTTCCCAGTATTGTGTGGTTGTCCACCATTTTGTGATCTGATATAATTTTCCCATGTGTTGTGAATCCTAACCTTTATTATGCTAATGAGGCAGGATTAGAGGCAGTTATGTTAATGAAGCAGGACTTAATCTATAGGATTAGGTTGTGTTTTGAGTCAATCTCTTTTGAGATATAAAATAGAGAATTGAGCAGAGAGGAGCGGGACCTTGTCTTAGTCATCTAGTGTTGCTATAACAGAAATACCGCAAGTGGATGCCTTTAACAAAGAGAAATTTATTCTCTCACAGTCTAGGAGGCTAGAAGTCCAAATTCAGAGCTCCAGCTCTAGGGGAAGCCTTTCTCTGTCTGTCAGTTCTGGAGGAAGGTCCTTGTTATCAACTTCCCTTGGTCTAGGAGCTTCTCAGCTCAGGGACCTGGGGTCCAAAGGACCCACTATGCTCCCAGTGTTTCTTTCTTGGTGGTATAAGATCGCCCTGTCTCTCTGCTCATTTCAGTCTTTTATATCTCAAAAGAGATTGGCTTAAGTTGTAGATTAATCTTGTAGATTGAGTTTACATAACTGCCACTAATCCCATCTCATCAACATCATAGAGGTAGGATTTACAACACATAGGGAAATCATGTCAGATGACAAAATGGTGTACAATCATACAATACTGGCAATCATGACCTATCTGAGTTGACAGATATTTTTGGGGAACACTGTTCAATCCATGACAAACCTCATACCACCAAGAAAGAAGAGCCAGGAAAAGAGTGCTTCCTTTGGACGTGGGGTGTGTGCACTGAGAAGCTCCACAACCGGGATTGATGGCAAGGACCTTCCCCCACAGCAGACAGAGACAGAAAACCTTCCCCTGGAGCTGATGTCCTGAATTCAGACTTCAGCCCTCCTAGACTGTGACAGAATAAATTTCTGTTTGTTAAAGCCATCCATATGTGGTATTTCTGTTATAACAGCACTAGATAACTAAGATAGCAACCCTTTAGGACAGAGTAGTACTGCCTCATAAGGTTTCCAAGGCTGTAATCTTTATGGAAGCAGACTGCCACATCTTTCTCCTGTGGAGTGGCTGTGTGGGTTAGAACCACAGCTCTCTTAATTAGCAGCCAAGCACTTAACTACTGCGCCCCCAGGGCTCCTTGCAATATTGATTAGGATGAGTTAAATCAGGTACATTTTATTAATAAAGGGCTTCTTTTAGTTGATGATTTTATAAATATGATAAAAGGCTTTGTTTAGAAGAATTGAATCAATAGAATATATTGACAAGATCACCAGAGACATATAAAGTAACTGAAGAATCATTTTTAAGTCTAATGTCTTTTTGCGTGTTAATAAGTAATTGTTTCCTACTAGCATCCCATGGGCAAGTCCTAGTTCGGTTGTTGCTCTTGATCCTGATGTGGATCTTCTTTCTTCACTCTGGGTATAATGTACATCTTACATGAACCACAACTGCCTCTGCCTGTCCACATTGGACTTGCTGGTTTCTTGCAGAGAAGGAGTGGAGTTGGGTGTTTAATAACAGACTCTGGACTTGGACATGCAATCCTATTAATCCAAATGTTGAAACTTCCTTTAATGCAGATACACTTTGAAAATATCATCTACAAAATGTCCATGAGATGTTTTAAGTTTTACCTTCTCTGATTGCAGTGGGAGTGGTTTTATAAACATCTGTGACTTTAGGTGGGAAAAAACATTTTCACGTATGAATACTAACTACAAGGTTCTCATTCATTACTTAGCAATTAGATCATTACTCCCTTAGTTGTCTTCTTTCTACCTCTATCAAACATCTGTAGTAGTAAAAAGTTGTGTTTTGCCTGAAATACTTTCTTCTTGGTTTTGCCATGTAACCGTGTCATGCTAGATAGATTTATATTACATTAGCCATTCATATTAAAATACGTTAGTAGAAAAATATTTTAGAAAACTTATTTCATACTTTTAAAACATCTGAAAACAACTGTCAGTTCCTGAAGAATGTGCTTACATTTTTCAGTCTACTTTCAAGATAGTGCAGGATGTATATAGCTTTGAGGATAAATTATACATAAAATAAACCTGTTCGTAGAAAACCTCCAGGAAGCATGGTTTGGTGGAAAGAGCACTGAACTGGGATTCAATGGAATTGTGTATCATATCTGTTCAGTCCCTCAAACATCTGTGTGATACTGGCCATGACACTT